ATTGTTTTCACAATAAGGGAAAATTTAAGGTTAAGGTGATACGATAATTTCGTGGTAGAACTGGAATGATGTCCCACGATTCTGTCTGTTAATTCCTTCGTTGCTATTTGCTATTAGGTGAAAAAATTAATTTAAATCAAAATAACAAAAATAATTCCTAATAATAATTGATAACTATGGTTCTTCGTGCAAAACTTCAAAATGATTATAAAATACTTGAAACTGGAATATTTAGATTTGTGATTGATTTCATATTCGATAAGAAATACAGAGAAATAATTTAATCGAGTAATAGAACAATATAAAATATATTATTAAAAACAATGATAAAGAATAAATACCTACAGTTCATTATATTATAATGATTAATTAGTTATTATTATTAATAATAATAATAATGAAAAAGAATTATTACTCGTTAATGTGACGATATTATTTATGTAGATCTTCCAAAAGAAAAAAAAAACAATTGCAAGATTAATTTGTTCCAAAGAGCTGTGATGCGTAAGTATAATATAAATACCAGTAGCACGACATTGCAGCAATGAAAATTCACTATGGAAAAAAAGCGCGCGGCGATTCGAGAAGGCACGAACGAACAAACGAACGATCGTGACCAATCGGCCAGGTCGGTGGCCAATTCCTCGCTATCGTAGGCAACTAGGTATCCTCGAGGTTCTCACCAACTGTAGAACAACGTTTTTCTATCTGACTGTAATTTTTGCTTCGATTTTACATAACATCGTTCTCGTGCAGTCACACGTTGCGCCATCTACGTAAAATATTCTCGCTCTGTGATCGATTCATCTGTTGTATCGTTCTTATACTTATACTTTATACATAGGTATGTAAGTATTACTATATTTACAATGATTCAGGAAGTTATTGGAACATTAATCGTAAGAGTAGTAAATGCAGAAACAAAATTGGAAAATAATATTAATTTGGAATAATTTAATAAATAATATAATATATATAATAATAAGAGTGAATGACATTGTTAATTTTTAATAATCACCTATCCATAGGTATTGTTTATGTTTATAATAACTCACGTAAGTATTT